AAATTGTCCCATATCATAGGTGCGTGCGGATCCCAAGACTTACGGTCTCCGTCCCCGATTATGGCTCCTGGTGCATTTCAATTATACTCTTCAGGAAAGCTTTAAAGATGTTTACTATGAGAATTTTGCACTGAACATTGTCCTGAACACCTGGTCACTTAATGCAACGTAAACCGGGATAAGCTCCAGTGGTATGGACCACCTGTCCCGACGCAAGCTTTCTTTCTTTACGCCAGATAACTGATCTGATTTCTAGTACTCGTTTTATAGCTTACTTCACAAACAAAAAAGTAAAAATAATCAAAAACGATTTTATTACCCGGAATGGTGATAAGCTTTAGAGCCTGCAGTAAAGCGGTCATTCCGGAACCATTGTCATCAACACCGGGAGAGGTCTGCACTGTGTCATAGTGGGAACCAATCAAAACCATTTTATCGTCACGTGTTCCGGTGAAGCGACCAGGCAGTCTACCAATGACATTCACTCCTGGATACTAAAAATATAACAACTGTACAAAGAGATGCATTTACGTATTATTGTAAATCATAAGAAAAAGAGAACAGATCACCGTGTCCCTTGTGATAATTAATTATTTACATGAAATAGAGGTGGTTACCTTGATCTTCTCTTGTTTCATAACCTACTTATAGATTGGTTTGTCATATTTACAAAACGTACCCGGGAACTTTTAAATAATTAACACGGCGTCAGTCTTACCCACCAAACAGGTGCGCGCATTGAAAAAGCCAAACAGTTTTAATTTAGACAGAATATAACAGATTTCAGATAATTTTCATCGGAAGAAGCCCGTGTGCTTGAACCTGTTTACATAAATTTAATGGTCGATCCTTACCAGCATCGTTTCACGGGCCTCAAAAACGATAGTAAATGGCGAAAATGTTTGGTTTACAATGGAAAACAAATAGTAAAGTCATTTTTGTTATTGCTGCAATCAGTTCTACTTCTTCTGAGAAGATTGTCAAGTCATGTGACATAATGCGGAATACTTAAATCACTTTTAATACAAATGAACAGTGCCTCTTAAAAGTAGATTAACAATGCACTCACTTTGCTGTAACTACCGTTTTCAGTGAGGTAGTAGAAAAGCCCAACTTTCATATTAAATATTCTGTAAAATGTTCGAATTGCTTTAGCAGGCAGATTTTTCGCAAACTTAGAAAATGTGAACTTTTGCCTATTTCAAAAGTAGCTCAAATTTTGTCTTGCAATCAGAGCCAATTTCTAATTAGAGAATTTTTACCTCACTTTAAAGTAGAGTCGTGGAGACGGAGAGAGAGGCACAGTAGCCTCATGGTTTTGCAAAGAATCAGTAAAAAATGGGCTCTTTTAGTTTATCAAAACTGCAGTAAATTTGTCAATCATTTTATTTAGAGTGCTTGATCTATTTTCCTTTGTGTTTGCCTTTTGATGAGAAGCTATTCTTTGATAAATGGATTGGTGACTTGGATAAAGTGTAAATAACGGAGAAGCGTTCTCAAGTTGAAATGCTCAGAAAAAGAATTTTCTGAGCCCACAACGAGAGTCGAACCCATGACCGGTATTCTGAAGGTCGTGGGTTCGACTCCCGCTGGGAGCTCAGAAAATTCTTTTAACGAGTATTTCGACTTGAGAACGCTTCTCCGTTATTTTAGCTATTCTTTGTTTACCTTTTCTTGGTTACTAGGGAACTCCTCAGTCCACGTGTGCAATCCGTGATCCTTAAACATGTTCACGATGAAGTCGCGTGCTCTCTGTTTGGCGACAGGATCGATATAAACATTTCTTGTGTCGGTGAAGTGGTTCAGTATCGAGCGTAGAGACTGGGTCTTAGTATTGGCTTCCACTAGCGGTGATATTGTCAAACAAACTAAACCGGAAAGCGAGAGTAATAAAACAAAGCTGCCAATTAGGCGTAACGAATAAATATTGAAAACTACGTCGAGTTGAGGTACTTCACTCCTCTTAGTAATGCTTTATTGCCTTCTTTCCCTGCGGGAGGGAAGTAATAAAGTCTAGAACCGAAGAAGCTCCCAAAGTAGTGATACACCGAAAGAGCTTATTTATTTTCACAACCCTTTTAGTTGACAGACTTCCACTCGCCCAAAGAGAAAATACTACTTTAACGGCAACATAAACTCGTTTTCATGAACGATACGCAATCTTCAGTGTGTCTGTCATCAGCTTGGCGTCCAGATGGAAACATGGATCACTTAGTCTTGATCTGTTCTAGATCTGATTATTAGGTCTTCACAATTAGTTACTTCTTAAGATTTGTCACCTTGCAGTTGGACTGTTAGTTTATAAAGAATGAAAGCTGAACGGAAACTTAGTTGTTTTGGCTCCGTTTCGTTTCATTTGCACGCGCCATTGAAGATCAATGTAAGCAGTACACAGCCTTGCTAAGTTTAACCCCACGCACCTGTGAGAAGAAAAAGCAACAAGAACATCAAGGAACCATTCTCCATCTTTGTGACCATGTTGATGATGAAATGTCTTCTGGCATACAAGTAGATTTGCTACTCAGCTCGCTGTATTGTTGTTGACCCGTTATTGAAAATTGGCATAAATCATGCTGTTCATGAAGCATTCGTGCATAACGCAAACTGTCAGCACATTCGTGCGACAGTTCGTGCCACCACCACTGTTTCTCAGATAATGACCTTTGCTTACGACATCGCTTATATTTCGACTAATTGGCATACGAATTTGTGTAGAAAAGGAATCATGCCAGAAGTTGATATTCTCAACTCGTTTCAATATTTAGCTTTAAGAGTTGATATTTTTCTAGCTCGATAAGAAACTGACGCGCTTAAGTATACTAAATCACGAATCAGTTGTACTCAAATATTCCATTATGGAAGTCAGTGGGTTACTACAGTTCTTAAATGGTGGCATATTTTGCCGGCACGTTCAGTTCGAAGACTCTTTGTGGACCACTTGTTAAGGAAATACGCGGTATTTACCGCTAAACAATCCCCAATGTCCCTACTGCACCATTATGGCCTTATAGCATCTCAAACATAGACTAGATACCATTTTTCTCTATTCTAGTAATGCACTTTAATTTCAGTAACTTATCTCATATTTGATATTTAACTATTTTTTCCAGTCCAGCAAACATTAATCTCCCCCACAGACTTGGTATTTGTATCTTTTATTTCACCACTAGACAATTCCGTACTGTTAACAATAAAGTGCAGTCAGAGTGAAAGGAAAGGGCAAGCCCTCAGGCTAAGAGTCTAAAGACTTAGAAAGTTCTCGCTGTTTCCTTAGCTACCAGAAAGACATCCATCTTGTATAAAATAAATGAACACTACTAAACTAAACTGTAATCCTTGATTACAACTAAGATAAAATACAATCAGCTCTACTTAAAAATAAACTTCACTGCTTTCTTGTGCTTACTCGAGCATTTCTTATATTGATGTGCAGGGACACATCGATAAGGATACTTTTCATACCTTACTGTGCTAGAGGGGGTACAACAAATTCAGAGTTCCTTAGATTGTACTGATTACTTTACCGATAAACAAAAAATTAAGCAATTGCCAGGCTTTACACTGAACACGAAAATAGCTATGTCTTGAGGTCCAGGATTATATAGTGTTAATAACTTATTTCCTTTTGTTAACGTTCCTCGCTGAGGTTAAAATCTCACATCTGTCTCCGCTTTCATCTTGTTGAACTAATATGATACACAAAAAAGCAAAACGTGGCTTCCAAGGCTTACAGGCCGAACGCCAATGATGTCAGTACAAGAAATCCAATCAGCTGCCATATTACTGGATGGTGATCTGTCATGTCAACAAAAACAATATAAATATGAGTTAATGCAGGGCCTGCAACCTCGGAATTTATTAAAAACACTTTGAGTTTGCTGTAAGTTAATTCTTTTGTGGCCAGCTTTTCTCTCCACCATTGCTTCCCTCCTCGTGTGTTTATATGATAACGCTTGTTGACAAATGTTGAATTCATTTCTTCTGTCATGATGGGGTGGGATTTAAAGATTTAAAAGATCAAACTCAGAACACGAGTCAGTTGCGTTAGACCCGAAGGAAGAAGATCCGGGAGTTCTTTAATTATTACTTATGTACTACATGTATTAGGTCACATTCTGTTACAACAAGTACCTTTACTTTTCGCCTTTTTCCAATAATAAATTGAACTCTACGTTCAGTGATTTCATCAGTTTTTTAGAAAAAGAAGAAACAACTTCATAACTCTTTTTTTTCAAAACTATTCTAATGAAGGGTAGCGCTCTTGGTGTCAGGAGTTAAACTCGATCCCCTCCAACTCTTTACCTTGTTTGATTCCAGTTTTTGACCTTTTCAGCTTAGCTTTAGCCACGAAATCAGTTACATCACAATTTTTCACAAAGCAACAAGCTTACCATGTGCAGCACTCTTGATGGTAGGTGGTCCTTGTGTAGGTCCTGGTGACGTCTTTGTGCCATTATAAGTTGGACTCCACTCTGCTTTGATGGTAGGCAGTTCGGTTGACCTCTTGGTGCCATTATAAGTT